AACAACTCCGTAAAGGACCCAGTACAAGAACCTAATCAATACCGCAGGGCTAGCGGTAGATGCCGTGCGTGGTTTGTTCCAGCAGAAACTCGTGTGCCAGCCAGCACTGCGATGATACGTCTCAATGCTATTTTATGTTCACATCTTCAACCACAAGCCATCGAGGGGCTTCGTGCTGTTCGGCGAGAAACAATATTGCAGATGTGTAGTGTATTGTTTCTTCCAAGGCAGCTGGTGGCGCAGAATGTAGAAATACTCGAGAAACCCCCGGCCCTTATTGTAATATAGTACGCAAGTTGTCAATTCGTCACTCTTCTGGCAGAACAGGCTGCCATAAGCTCGAACTGCTCCCCTCTTGAATGTAAAGTGAACCGCGGGCTCGGGCCCTGATGGCGCATAAGGTCCCCAGGGCTTTTACACTGAGGTCAATTCAGCGACTCGGCCACCTTGGCTTCGTATTGGAGATCTCCAACCCAATCCATGGATGCAGCTGCGAGATGAAGCTCGTGGCAGTCTTCACCAAGCGCAAGTCGCTCAAGGTCAGATCCAAAGAAAATGGGATTGGCCTCGAGTTTAGCGGCTGTTTCATGCCATGTGTTGTCGGTGAAGTAGATGTTCATGACATAATCGAGTACTTCCTTCGCTGGCCTGGGCATTTGGGGAAAATGTGAAGAGCGTTGAGTCTAAGCTAAGATCTTGCTCGACCGTGATTAGAGGTCGCCCTTATATATTATATACTGAAAAGGTGTGCGGCTCGTGGCAGTGTTTAGCCGGCAATCAGGAATGATCGCGTTGATCGCGCATACTGGCTAAGAAGGGCATTTTGGGCTCATCGGTGAAGTATCTCTTCTGGTAGGTTGGTGACGATTCTGGAGCGTCTCGCAGTCGGATATGGGACGAAGAGAATAGCGGATCAGCCAGGCTTGGAACAGTTACAGGATTGAAGAGGCTTGATTTTCAATATCAACGAGATACGGGTGCTACTATGAATGAGCCGTTTTATTCTCCTCAAACCGCAAGCAGTCGTCCACGTACAGTGTGTGGATTTTCCATTTGCATGACTTGTCAGAGATGAAAGCGAGTCACGGGAAAGAGGTTCACAACACCACTCAGGCGTTCTTCAGAAATGGATCACTTACGACGCCTCAAGACGGCGACGTTGGAGGGCTTGAGCCATGTCAGACAGCAGCGTGACACCCTTTCAACTCTTGATGACAGAAGTGGTTCACATTAATGACAGCGGTGATATGTACAGTTGTGTGCAGGGGCATGAAATCTCTATTTCTCTCTATGATATCACACGATAAACATGGACTCGGCGAATCCCGGTGCAGACCATGTGCGCTCCATATCAGAGCCAACCTCCGGGATTGTATGGTGGCTGCTTCCGCTTCAACTCCGGCTTGACGGCCTCAAAGTCATAGCCTTCTCGACCACGCCTGACTGGAGCCAAGAGCACGTCGAGGTCATCCTCTACTCCTGGCGAGTCTGGCTCGTCTCTAGCCTGCACCTCCACGTCTTCCTTCTGTCGAGATTTGGACGGATGGCCGGAGCCCGTGTTTCCCTCCGCAGGCATGGTGTTTGTCTCATTCATGACGCTCTCGAAACGGCTGAAAACATCTCGAAGCTGTACCACAACTTGCTCGACGTCGGACATGAAGGAGGTTCCTGTGAGAGCCAAGCTTTTCCAATAGTCAAGTTCTTGCCTGAGGCGACCGGAGTCTCTCACGAGTTCTTCCAGACGTTTCTCCTTACTGACTGGTGCCTTCTGAGACTGTATGGTACTGTTTGCGAGGTCGGTTGCGTGGGTTCTCCCGCCCAAGGCCGCGACTGCGTTGTCTATGTCGCTTGGTAGGCGCGGCAGACCGTTTGATCGGCGAAGGCGCTTCAAAGGTCTGGCCGTCATGTCGGCTTGCCATCGAAATGAGGTGGAGTGCCGACGGGTTGCCGAGCGAAATGCGTGACATGGATCATCTTATGTGAGGACGGACACTGCGTTTGCCAACCGCGGAATTTACGCCAAATGTAGACGAGATGTAATTTGTGTAAGCCATGGCAAGGTCGTCTGGTCTTGTTCGGGCTGCTCTCGTCGTCAACTCGATGAGCGAAAAGCCAGAGCTTTCACTGGTGCGTGAGCCAAGAGATGATCTCGTCTTGATATACCGTAGCACACTCTATGCATGGATGCCGTGGGTACGCATGGACTGTACCGCACAATTATCAACTTTGAGTCTGTCTCTATGGCCCCGGCGTCATTGCAGATACTTTGCAAAAACGGCCATTCGTGGGAAACGCTGACCGTCAAGCCGCTGGTGGCTTCTGCAAAATCCGGTTGCGTAGAGCTTCGCTTCTCAGAAGACGGTATCGGATGTCGACACGAGTTTACACGTACGAAGAGCACAATGTGCCTGGTCCAAAAATAAAGGCAGTCTAGAGCCCTGGTTCTAACGATATAAATCTCTTCATTGGCGATGGCATGAGCTGGGCTACCGAGTCACCACAGACGCGCTGGAAGAGATCATGGATTCCATGTGGTGAGCGGCGCACTATCACGTTGCCACATAGGTATCCTGCTAATGGGAGTCAGGACCAACCTGCTTAGACAAGATGAGCGATGCTGCCTCGCCATCTGCCTGGCAGTCAATTGCCCTCACAGCGGGCTGACCGACGATACGTGGTACCCGCCGCTGAACAGAGTCAGGGAAGATATGAACAGCACCGCGGGAGATCGGTTCATCGCCTACATCATAAGCTGCCTGTGTGGGCCACTACAGGGCAAAGAGTTCGTCGTCAAGGTCGCCGCGCTCCTGGCGTGCCTGAAAGTCCGCGAAGCACCCGAGGAATGTGACGACGGCCTGCCGGGCAACAGAACCAACTTGTTGTTCGAGTTTGACAAGGCACTGAACTTTGACTTTGGAAACATGCTCATCACCATCAAAGTGCTCGAACAGGTTTTGATGTTCTCCGCGCGGATTTGGGAAATCCATGCGCCTGAAGACACCGTTCACCCCGGAACTTTGCCAGCGACTTTCGACCTCTGCGATGATTCGGTGTCGAGAAAGATGTTATACATGTACTGCTGTGTACGAATCTTGTTCCCCGACACTCATGAGGCGACCATGCACCGGACACGGGCCGTCTTCCAGATGAGCTCTGCAGATGCGGCCGAGCTACTTCTCGATACGCTCAGCGACGACGAGCTGGAGTCAGGGAGGCACTCAATGTGTGACGTGGACGAGGACCTGTTTGACGGCGAGGGCGACGAGTCTTACATGTCTGACGTTGAATCTGGAGAAGACTCAGACCTGTCGGAAGGAGGGCGGTTAGACGACGATTATGGTGATTCAGACGTCTCCGATGAAAGCTATGGGCCTGGCGCAGAAGGAGACGATAGCGATATAGAGTAGTTGCCGAGTTCGTCACGCATGGGGGTGTGTTTTTCAATAATTCTCTCATAACAATCCTTGGAAATTTTCATATTCCTTCATATTCCTTCCCTGTCGTTTACGTGTGAGGAGACGACCTGCCCCGGTATCTTCCAAACGTCCAGAGAGTGTTCTGCATGCCATGCCCTGTGTTCTGTGCCGCGCAACGAAGATCCCACCCTTGAGGCCGTGACATGTGCGATGCATTGGTGTTGCTGGTGATGGCTCGCATGGAGTCCTAAATCACCCAGTCACCTTTAAGCCAGGTTGCAAAGCACAAAACATCGAGAGACGAAGCCTAACAGTACTGCGAAACTCGCAGCGAAAGACCGGTGGCATAAGACGAGAGATTCGTCCGCAAACTGCCCACCAGCGGCGTAACCGGCTTCTTCTCATTGGCGCCTCGGCGCAGGAAGCAAGTTTCGTCGACTGGCTACGATCAGAACCAGAAGTGTCTATTCGTGCCGTACACGTTCTCTCTATTTCATTGAATCTCTCCCGCAGCGGAGCGACCTCTAGTTGCAGGATGCTACCTCGGCCAGCGTCGAAACACCGGTGACACCGTCGCCAACGTCTGCGTAAGCATCTCCGCGCTTTTCATCGACGTCTCATATGCGATGTCTCATCGATCATGGACTCTCGCAGTGCTGGCTCTCCAGCTTGCTGTCGCCGCCGTGAATGCAGCGTCGGCCGTCGAGATCCTCTCGCAGGTCCCGTCTTGTGCTGTGAGTGATTGTGGCATCAGCCAGGCTTTCGTCGCGCTAAAGCATCTACCATCTAGTCGGAGTGCATCAGCAGCACATTCATCACGTCGGCCTGCGATCCAGAAGACGTGACCGCGTGTATCTGTCTCGACATTGCTGTCCAATCGGAGCTTTCGACATGTGTGCAGACGAACTGCCCGTTTGACGATCAACTGAGTTGGCCCCGCCGTTTCCTCTCTGGAAGCCCATCTGACCTTCTGAAGCTGCAGCGACCGTAGAGGGGGCCCTGTGCGAAGGGTACCCCAAAGCATCGCGAAGGACGGAAGTCCGACGGACGCTCATCATCAGCTGCAGTCTTGTGCTGTTCATCGTGGCGCTTCGTCTGTTCACGAGCAAACAGTATGCGGGTGGTCTATGGAGGGACGACTACATGACCATCCTCGCGGCGGTACCTGACCCCAACTCTCCAAGAAACCCTTTCTGATGTCGTCTGTCAGGCACTCCTCATCGCCTTGGCCGCGGTCTACCTGCACATTACAAGCATCGGCTTCGGCGTGCACTACTGGACGATACCGGTCGGTAATGGGGTCGTTATCCGAAAGGTTCGGTGATCTGGGCCCGCCAGCCGTTCGTGAATCGTGGCATCCCGTCCTAACGCCGAGTCAGATGCTGTACGTCGGAAACTTGATCTACACTGTGCTTCAAGCCGCCGTGAAGCTGTCGATCGTGCTCTTCCTCGGCCGCATCTTCCCGTCGGAGACCTTTCGGAGGATCGCTCAGGGCCTCCAGGTCATTCTGCTACTGCATGGCACGCTCTTCATCGTCCCGTTCGCGACGCAATGCGTACCTGTGCAGTCGATATGGGATCGCACCATCACCGACCGCCGATGTCTAAACTTGCAGGCTGTGGGTTACAGTAGTGGCGGACTCGCCATGGCGGAGGACATCGCCATCTTGCTCCTGCCGATCCCCTACGTGTGGCGGCTCAAGATTTCTCTCCGGCGACGCCTGGCCGTCATCGCGCTGTTTAGCATTGGTTCATTGTGAGTTGGGTCTCACGTCCCGGTAGAAGGGTGGGAGGAGAAGGCTCACACGGCAGACAGCGCGTGCGTGACGTCGGCGGTCCGGGTCAGATACCTGGTGGAGTACAGCACCACGTTCGACGAGACGTGGGACCATGTCGATATTGTGGCGTGGTCGTTCATCGAGCAGTCGACGGCGATGCTGTGTGCGAGCTTGCCCAGTCTGCGTCTGCTGCTCGTCAGCGTCTGGCCCCGCCGTCGGTCTACGGCGTCGGAGAGCTTTTTTAGCAAGGACAGTCCGAAACACAGGTGGACCCAGTCTCTTAACAGACTGAGGCGACACAAGACGCAGATACGCAGAGACAGCGGCCCCGGACCGCAGCATACGGGCGACGGCGTGCTTGTGACGACCACGGTGGAGGTCGATCGGCAGTCCTACGTGGCTCTCGACGTGCCGCCCTTCCCACCGCCTGCCTATTCTGGGCGTGGCAACAACACATAACAGCAAGTGATGGGAGAAGGGATAGTTGGACAGTATCTTTCATGAGTCTATGATGAGCTATGATGAGCTATGATGAGCCATGATGAAGGGTTATTGCTGGGGCATGTTGCTGCAAGTTATCCGTGAAAGGAAAGCGACGCGAAGTTAAAGTACAGGGAAACATTGCCATTGTTAGGCGTTGGAGTTTGACCAGTGTCTGGCTACATAAAAGGCGGCGCCACGAGTCATGAGGTAAATCACACGGCGACGAGTTTAGGACATGGATCGAGTAGGGTATTTCTTTGCAGAGATGGAAACCATCGTGCATGTTCCGAAAGTTACATTGAGTAGGCTGCCAATACTCCAGCTGCCGTTTTCGAGGCCGTATTGCCGCCGAGGCCTCATGTTGTGATGATAATTTCTTCGTGCAAACCTTTGGGCCTTTTGGTGGGCGGTGCTTCCGATGGGCAATGAGATCTCCATAGCTTTCTGGTGCAGTGAACACCTGGATTTCGCCCGTCTCTCTTTCGATTACGTAGAGCTGCAGCCCCACTTCCCTGCTCGTGAGTAGTTCGCCAGGCGGTCTCTATACCACAATTCAATTCTGGCACCAAACCAGCGACAGACGGCAAGTTAACGGAAAGGGGAGTTGAAGACGAACCAATGCTAGCGACTGTCAGAGCTCCTCGGGCGCCATGACGCTAGCCCTGTGGGCGCTTGAGACTGAGACCGTACCGTGCATGCTGTGTGATGGGATGAATGGTGATTGACGAACCCCAAAGCCCGCCATGTTCCGCGGCAATGCGGGCGGAGCCCGTCCTGCGTTGCGCCTAGCCGGTCCAGATGCTTGGAGCCGCAGCCGTTTTTGGCCGTTCGCCTACCGGAACGATGGTGGCCGTTCTTTCTGTTCTTTCTGAGTGCCTTCGGTAGGGAAATCGAATGGGCCCCTGCAGTTTTGTGGGAGACGAGCCCGCCGAGGCCCGGTCTCGGCCCCGGGAAGGGGGTGAGTTTCTCCAGCACACATCCGAAAACAGCGTAGAAGCAACAATCGGCCACTGGCTGCGGCGTAGCCCGTGAGCCCCCTGTACAATGACATTCAAATTCGGCTTTCCGCCGTAGATGGCCCCAACTCTCTCGTCTGACGTAAGGGTAGGTCTTTGGCGACGAGATACACACTTGGATCCCACCGCCGACGGAGCAGGGCGTAGCGTTGTGCAGCGGTGCAGATCCGTAGCAGCTCGTGGTTTCTTGCTAATGGGTCTCTGACAGCAACCGATTCGTGGTGGGCGCACGGCGAAGAAAGTGCGTCCATCTTTTGGGCGGAATTCATTTCTGGCGCTGGATGCCATGTCACCGACGACTGGGAGACTGCAAATGGGGAAAAGCAACAAGCCATGGCTTACGGATAAGAGCGCGAAATGAGAGCGTTTTTCGAATGAGTGGATTCGTCGGATTCACTGGCACTCACAAGTGTAGCTGAACGCCTCGACTGTTTGATCTGAATGCAGGGCTTGCCCATCGTCAAGCAGCAAATAACTCGATCCGATGGACCCTGTCCGCACGTCCCCCCTTCCTTCCGAGTGTATGTCTCCTCGACCCCCTCAACCACCACACAACCGCATATCTCACGAGGACGAGAGCGCAGGCCAGAGTGGCGAGCAATCCCAGCCGCAACCAGTGCCAGCACAACATGGCACGCCACACCACAGTTTCAGCGTGGACCCGGCCTTCCCACGCCTGACCGAGACAGCCGTCGAATCATCGCCGTCCGCTGACAGGCGGTCGGACGAAGGCGAGCAGAAGATGACGTACGCGCAACTCATCTACATCGCACTTCACAGCACAGAAAAAAAGGCGATGAGGCTAGGCGAACTCTACCACTGGTTTGAGCAAAACACCAGGAGAGCCAACAGGGGAGGCGAAGGATGGAAAAACAGCGTTCGTTCGAACCTGAGCGTAAACAAGGTACGCTAGCGAGTTGCGCCAGCGTTGTGACGGTCTAGTTTTTCCTGCTAAGTCGTAATCTGTGTTGCACAGGCCTTCCAACGAGTGGAACGGAAAGGCTCCCTCTGGCAGCTCGCGGAGGCAGGGTTGACGGAGTTCCAACCAACGCGTAAGCCCCGAACGGATCGCCGGGCGAGTCGCAGGAAACAGGCAGAGGGGTCATACAAATGGAAGATCAGTGTCGCATTACCTCCTCCGTCTTGCGCGCCCACTTTGCAGGATGACTCGAACAAAAATGTGTCCGGAAGTGATTGCGGCGACGATCGGTTTTGGTCATTTGACGGCGGCTTCACGTCGTCCGAGAGGAGCCAGCCTGAAAGCGGAACCTCTACCGATTATCCCACGCCGACACCGATTACTTCGACGCAAGATGGCTTGGAGCACATGCATGATCCGCTATGGGCTTGGAACCTGGATAGTGGGCGCTACCTCCACTGGCCCTACTGTAGCTGCCTCTGTGGCCGACAACAATTTTGTTAGACAGACGTGAATGACATGTTGCCATTATGCGCCCCGACAGCGTTTGCTCCCATGTGGACGAGCATGGGTGTGGGCTCCAGTCCGCCGTCGGAAACGTCTGTGCAATGGGAGATCTGATGGTTGAATCTGGTCTTGGCAAACTAGAAGTACGTTATAGCACTGGGGGGCATAGAGGAGCCACTGTCCGAATGGCGCAGAGATAGAAATACAGACAGCGGATAAGAAATGTGCTGTCATGCCAGAGAATGCATGCGCCAATTCGATCTTCCCGCTCTTGATGTGTGTTGGAAAGCTCACTTGCGAAGCCGGATGGACCTACGCTTAACTTTGAATGAAGGAAGATTCCGACGCAAATGGCTGCAGAGCATTGGCGATTGGATCGCAGACGATTATAGATTCATCCAGGTCATCGGGCTCAAGTCCCGTCCACCCAGCCTATTTTGGCTTCCGAGTTGCCTTCTGTACTGCCTATAAGACAGACACGCGCCTCGTCTGCCCGGTGTAGCTGTCCCTGATCCGGTGCGCAACATGTCCCGTTGTAAACACACTGGCTGGCTGCACGTGGCCACCAAAGACCAGGCGTACGTCGTCGAAGGCTCGGGTCGTGCCCAGAGACTGCTGGACGATCTGCCACGCCCGGATGGCCAATACCCGAGTATTCTCGTGCTGATTGGAAACGCGACCAAGCGGGTTGCCCTGCAAAGACTCGGTGTGTACATCACTGCGCCCAACACGGCCCGGGGCCACGGCGAGATCCATCTTAACCTGGCTCCTGTCGGCGCGTCCGGCGCAAGGCCGACGCTGATTGCCGATGCCGACATCCCGCCTCATAAGCGGTTCGGCAGGCCGAGAAAATCTACGCTTTGCCATGAAGTCGTAGCAAGGCCACTGTCGATCTCTCACGGCGGGAGCATCTCCACGATGCCGTCCGCGATGCCGTCAGCGATGCCGTCTGCGATGTCGCCCACGACCTTAGAAGCTAGCGATCATGTCTATAATCGCATGCTTCTCCCGTTTGCTGATGCTGTGTGTTTCTTTGCCGACGACATCGGCGGCGTAGAGGTCGTCGCCCAGCGTCTTGCGTCGTGGCTGAACCTGAGTACGCCGTCCACATCGTCGGTGCGGCCCTGGTTAGTGGTCGTCGTGAACGGCGACGAAGAGGATTCCGCACGCAGTCGCCTGCTACAGTCAATTCGCAAGAGGACAAACGCCCACGTGTCCGAACGATTCCACGGCGTCCGCGTCATCAGCCTGGCCGACAAGACACCTAAGTCTCTCCGACGCCGCCTTGATTCCCTGCGTTGGGACATACTCAGCAATGAGCTGTCCTACATGACGGAGACAAAACGGGTCGAGCGCGTGCTCGCCAGCTGCCTCTTCTCGGCCACCCACCTCGCCGGCCTTCTCCGCCACGCCACAGAGCACGTCGGCGGCGCCGACGCGCCGCCCCTCGACTTCCTCGCCGTCTCCCGGCTCGACATCCCGGTGGCGGCCGATCTGCCGGCGCACCTCGCAGGGTTCCTCACGCACTGCGACTCCGTCGACGACCTGAAGAGATTCGCCGTGCCGGTCATCGCCTCCAGCTTCATACTGGACCAGTACCCTCCAGGCATGCACCGTACGTTTGCGGGCATGCGTCACCTTTGGTCCTCACTGACGGCCCGTAGTCTTCGATCCGCGCGACGTCTTCCAGATGTTCTACAAGGACGTGTGCCACAACGTGTGCGGTACCGCCGCCCTCGCGCACGAAGGGTCCACCGACTTCCTCCTGCCGTCTCAGTTCGCCAAAATGGTCGAGGCCCAGATGGCCCGTATATTCCGGCAGCTGACGGCGGGCCAAGCCTCAGCGTCGCTGCATCGACAGCTTGTCGCCGCCTTCGCGGAGGACTGGGTACAGCTTCGGTCCAACAGCACATGCTACCTTTGTCTGCGGCGCGCTCCGCAGGTCTTTCCCGCGTGCGGCCACGGTCACTGTCGAAACTGTGTCGAGGTATTTGGCGTCGCAAGCGCGGCCGACCCGTGGCTCATCGAAGTGGCCGAGTGCATCCTCTGCGGACAAAACGTTGACATGCAGATACGTGTGAAGCCGGACACCGCGTCGGTGCGGGTCTTGTGTATCGACGGCGGCGGGACGCGGGGCAAGTACCCCCTCAAGGTATTGAAGCAGCTCGAAGACGACATTGGGCTGCCCAGCCATCCGGTACAGCAGAACTTTGACGTCGTCTTCGGGACGAGCTCAGGTACGTCGCGGGATGCTGTCGTTGTTGCAGTGCAGATGGGGGCGACTCCCCTGGCTGACCGATCGCGACAGGTGCCATCAGCGCCGGCGCCCTCTGCATCAACGGGTGGAAGGTGGATGAGTGCATCGCCCGCTTCGAGTCCCTTTCGAACGATGCGTTCACGCCTCGCCGGGTTCCGTCTGTTCCCATCATAGGCCCTCTCATACGACTGATGATGCGGATCCCCTTTTTTGCCACAGTTGTGCGTACCGCAGCCTTGATTCTCTTCGACAGCAGGTACCCGTCGAAGCACATCGAGAAGGCTTTGCGAGACATGTTCGGCTCCGGCAGAAGCATCGCCGACTACTCGGCGGCCGACACGATGGGTGCCATGGTTGGCATGACGGTTGCTACCGTGCAAGACGCAAGCGCCTGCATCTTCACCAGCTACAACGGAGTGGGCCAGCGGACCGGCGATCGCGGTAACCTCCCCGTCTCCCTGTCTTCGTCCCCGTCTCCGTCGAGGCCATTCGAAGCCCGCGAGCTGATGCTAACGGACTGTATAGATTATGAACTCTTGAAGACGACCGCCGATGGGGACCTTGTGGCTTTGTGGGAGATGTTTGTGGTTTCCAGCGTGGTTCTATGCGAGGCCTGTGGCTTCCGGTGACTAGATGGCTAATCCGGTTTGCAGTGTCCGATGTGCAACCGCTGCTCCGTAGTCCGTGCCAGTCCTTTTTGTTTTCTCTTTGTTGTTTTTTCTCTCTTCCCTCTTTTGTCTTTTTTTTCTTTCTCTTCTTCTCTGTCTCTTCTTCTCTGTCTCTTCTTCTCTGTCTCTTCTTCTCTGTCTCTTCTTCTCTGTCTCTTCTTCTCTGTCTCTTCTTCTCTCTCTTTTTCTCCTTCTTTTCATTTTTCTTGCGTCTCGCTCTCTTTTCGTCATGCTATAATTGGATGGCGCAAAGAGTGACTACAGCCGAGTGCTGCGAGACGCCACTAACAATGCCATAGCTATTTCACGCCTTGGTCTATTGACGGCCTCGGCAACTTCCAGGACGGCGGCTTAGTGGCCAACAACCCGTCTTCGATCGCGCTGCAAGAGGTGGCCTTCCTTTTCCCTGAAGCGCCATACCCAAGCCTTCTGGCCTCGCTGGGCACTGGCTCCTCCCCGAGCTCGTCCGGCGGCGGGTGGTGGGACTGCTTCCTCTTCCGCCTGACGCGAGTGTTCCGGAACCGTAACAAGAACGACTGGCGGCGGGTCGTCGCACAGAAGAAGGTGGGTCAATCCGGTGAGTTCTTCCGCTTCGATGTCGAGTTCGACGGCTCCGAGCCGCCATTGGACAGCCTGTCCAGCTTCGACGATGAAGAAGACGATGGGTGCACTTTTGAAGGCCTCCCCGCCCTGAGACGTCTGGTGTTGTGCGCGAGGGCAGAGCTGTTCGTCTTTGAGCTGCGTGCTTCGCGGCCGTACCTGTTCTCCGATGGAGGGTACGACTGTCGCGGGCAGATATGTTGCCGGCTGCGCGCTCGCTCCGAGAGCCTGACGGCGTTGATGCGGCAGCTCGCGAGCGGCAAGGCGTATTTTCGCGTCGGCGGCCATAAAGTAGCTTGTGATTTTGCGTCATACCCGGCAGCCTTCCCAGATGGTCATTTCCGTCTGGACGTGAAGTTTCGCGTGGCCAGTCTGCAGGAGTCGTTCGCCGTTCGCCTATGGGAGACCGCCGACGAGGGTCGCGACATCAGCGGCTCGCCGTTTACCGTGCAGCAGCTGGTGCGGAGCCAAAAGCTCGAGCAGTGCTTCGGCACCTCTGATCATCGTAAGAAACGGCGACGGGACGACGATGACGACGAAGAAGACGAGGGTGCAAGCCGTAAGCAGCCGAGATTGAAGCGGTAGGGTGTGCGTTTGGTAGAGAAGGAAAGGACGTATGACGGTTCCTCGAATTGGTATGCGTAGCGTAGCTTAGAAGAATGATTTTTGGGCTGAGGCTTATCTTAAAACGCAGCATCACTGCAGGCGGATCCATGCCGCTGCGCTTCGCCTGTGCAGTGCGAACATGGTACTCTGTCACACTATTCTATTTTATTCAACATGCTCTTTCCTGATACTGGCTGGCACGTTGATCCTTTGCTCAGCCATTCAAGCAATGTAGCCATTGACTTTGGGCCAATTACATGAATGCCCTATGAGTAATCGTGCGCCCAGAAACAGCGTGAATTGGAGTGTTTCTCAGACCGGCCCAAATTGCTGCAAGGGAGACTTGATCCCGCCTGCCCCGATTGGTCCGGGAATGGATGGGCAACGTCGTCCGAGCTTCTCTAACCTCCCGTCGAATACACCAGCCGTCGAGTGGCGCACCCATTGCGGCCTCATATCAGCATGCATCACAGACCACAGA